GTGAGTTTGCTTTGAATATTAAAAATGAATTAAACAGCGTTTTTGGTTTGTGGTGCTCAGATGCAGTGGAGTTGTGCTTTAACAAGACAACATAATTTTGTTTTTGCAAAACCTCCAAGAGAATTCCTCAAGGTACCTAAATGTGTAGCTATTATTAAGTAAACTGGGAGAACCTAGACACCAAAATATGGAAAAGCTACATGAAAAATATGGCTAGTTATGGACTCAACCAGAATGTGGGGTTTGTTTATATATTGGTAATGCAAAAGCAATAATTCAAAAGGGGCTAGTGGTCAATGACGCACAATGATTTCTTTATTTAACATAGACAGTTCTAAAAACAATAACACAAAGAATCATACCACACTCCACAGGTCCCAAATAACAGTCCCCAAAGGGGACTACCCACTTATGTGTAGATCAATTGTTGGTAATGATAACTTTCCTCATGAATTGCACATGTGCTCCATATAACAAAATTGCAGAAACATAATGATTCAAAAAGATCCTGAAAGGGGAGCATGCTCTTTGTCACATATGGTATTTCTGCCAGGCCAAAATCACCAGGAAAAAACTAATTGTTGAATATCTCATGTAAAGGTTAGTGTAATGCAGGGGAGGATATTGTAAACTGTGCGGGCCTCCCTCTTACACTAAGCTGGCATTGAACCATGTCACATGAGGAAATGACAACATACAGTCCCAGACAATGCATCAACATGTAGTCCAGAGGAGGATATTACTGGTGATAATAATATACATGTAATGGCTTCAACTCCCTCAGGCTCCTGATAATGGGGCACATCCAGGGGAGATTTGTGAGCCAAAAGGACCTCCCTCATACATGGAAAAATAATAGCATCCTTGGTCCGGGGCCCATCTGTAGAAGATTCCTGGTATAAATGTGATAATCTTAAAGATAAGGTTGCTCCAAATTCAATTAAGTAATATGGAAGACATTAGATGCACTCCCCTTGTAAGGCACAGTGTTCAACAGTCAAGTTATCTCTTGCAAGATTGACAGAGTAGAGCGATAAACATATATGCAGTCCCTTGAATGTGAATAAACATGTCAGCAAGGAGACTTCTTGCCAAAATTGGGTAGAGTAGAGTGACAAGGGAGCATATGAAACAACTAATTTTATGCAAAGCAAGATGGTAATTTAACGATCCCTTCAAATGCATAAGGATAGACATGGCAGTCCCTTAAGGTATTCAACATATAAGGCAACTCATTTTGTTCAGAGTGAGGTGGTTATAAGACAATCCATTCAGATGCATAAGGATAGACATGGCAGTCCCTTTAGGTATTCAATATTAATCAAAAGAAGTATCTTTTAAGTTAGGCAAAGCAGAGTAGGCAGAGTTTAGGCAGAAAGTACAATATAGGCAGTCCCTTCAGATGTATATTAGTAGACCAGCAAGAGATAGTGAGATTGAAGCATCAAAAAGGAGCATCTGAAGTTGAGTGGTAGTACTTATCATGTGATGGACATCCATGGAGAGTTCACTGGGGGGGCCTGGGAGTGTGGTATCAGCCCATTCCTGACTGGTTTCACCGGTACAACCGGCTGTCTCAGAGGTAGGCTCAAGATTGTTTGACAGGTTGTTTCAGAGCTGGGTGCCTAAAATGGCCACCTCATCTCAACTGCGCATGTTCGGGACATGGCCACGTCATGACGTGGCATGCGTGTGACGTCACAAGCATGCGCAGTGCAAAGAAGCCTATATAAGCTTCCAGGAAGGCAATATGGTTAATCCAAAATATCCATTGCACCATCTAGTGGATCTTTCCAGTAATACAATGATTCCTCTAGAAAACCATACACTTTTTTGGACAGCATAAAGAAAAAGGGGAGAAGTTGTCCCATAAATGCCAATCCAAAGTTTTCCCCTCTGTCCCCAATCTGTCCCCCTTCGCAGGGAAAGAACCTGAAGGGAGGAGAAACGTTAAAGCCAAAAGGCACCCAGCCCAGAAAACCACATCAACATTCTAAAAGGAGAAACAGCAAATTGTTAAAATTCCTATCGAAATGGTGCACTAAAGACCACATAGTTCAATGTTATATAAAAAAAAAAACATAAATCAATGACAAAAACAAAACCCAAATGTAAATATATATAAGAATATGTGAAAAAAAAGGGGAAGGGAGGGACAACTGGAGATGGAGGAGGGCTTTAGGCAGGCAGAAAGGGGGCAAAGCTAAGGCTTTCGTTCAAACCTAGAGGTGTTGTGGCCTCCAGCTTCCATATCCATCTCGTCTCATGTTGGAGTTCCACTTTGTCGTAGTCTCCCCCCCCCCCCCGGTATCATGGGGGACAGCCTCCAGTACCCAACATCGCTATTATGTTCAAGACATGCATTTCTTGCCAATGGAAATTTGAGGTGGTAGGTGGAGATCTCATAATGATGATCTTGAAATCTCTTGTGGATGGTATGTATGGTTTTGCCAACATAGAAGGATCCGCAGACACAGAGAATAATATATACAACTCAAGACGTGCCACAATTGGCTCTCTGTCTGCACCTAAGGATCCTACCAGTCAACAAGGTTAGACTATCACCCTCGATCATAGAGGGGCAAACATCACAACAACCGCACCTATATATACCTGATGACAGACGTAGCTTAGGGGGAGACCAATTAATATCACTGTGGACCAGGAGGTCTGCTAGAGATTTACCCTTCCTATAGATTAGATTCGGGCGGTTGTTAATGTATTTCTCAACCAAGGAATCCTCCTTGAGAATGTGCCAATGTTTGGCACAAATATCCCTTATATTTTCTGATAGTTCTGTGTACTGAAAATTGATATTAATTGTTGCCTGATCACTCAAGGGTCGCCCTAGGTCCGAAGATTAATTTCTCATGGTCAGACTCCCTTGCTTTATGATACGCCTTCGCCAACCATTTTTTATTGTATCCTCGCTTAGTAAATCATTCACATAGATTGGAAGCTTCCTACTCGAAGTCCAGAGGATCCGAACAGTTCCTCCGAACCCTTAAGTATTGTCTGACTGGAATACCCTGAAGAAGGCAGCGAGGATGAAAGCTACTCGCATTCAATAGATTATTGGTCACTGTGGGTTTCCTAAACAGCTTGGTCTTAATACCTCCATTTCCATTAAGTTCAATCTCTAGATCCAAAAAAGTCACTTTTTGGGTATTGCATTCGCTTGTGAACTTAAGGTTGTATGAGTGGGGGTGAGTTCCTCTCCCAGGTGGATGTTGGCATAGGCTGGGGCACATTTGTACCCATAGCTGTGCCCTGAGCCTGGCAAAATGTCCTGTCACCAAATTGGAATTTATTGTGAGTAAAATATTTTCTTAATGACCTGGGCCCTTGGCGTGTGGAATTGAAGAATACAGAGCTTTAATATCAAGGGTAAGGAGAATGGTGTCGGGGGGAATGGTGAGGTGATGCAGAAGTGTCGAGATGCAAGGTGTCCTACTCTCCAGCTCCCTGGTCTCCTCCTCCCAATGCCGTCTCCAGGACTTCTCCAGGGCTTCCCCCATCCTCTGGAACTCACTACCCCAATCTATCAGACTGTCACCTACCCTCCTCACCTTTAGGCGCACCCTGAAAACCAATCTCTTCAGAGAAGCCTACCCCGCCCTCACCTAACTGCTGATCTCCTCCGTTCTCCCCACCACTCCATCCCCCACAGCTATTTCCTCCTGTACCACTCTCCCCTCCCTCCTAGATTGTAAGCTCCAAGGAGCAGGGCCCTCAAACCCCACGTGTATTTTATTGTATTGTTACTGTACTGTCTCATGTATGGTCTCCCATTGTAATGTACAGCGCCGAGCAAACTGTTGGCGCTATATAAATGCTGTGTAATAATAATAATAATATAGGAAAATTGGTCTACCACAAAGGGCTGGAGGATCCTATCTATGTATTTACTTGATTTCTCCATCAGGTATCCCATTGCAGAAATTATAGGATGGCCAGGAGGGTCCTCAACAGACTTGTGAACCTTTGGGAGGGCATAGAAAACCAGGTTGCGGGGATGTGTAACCCTTAGGAATTCCATTGTTTGTTTGTCAATGACGTGTTCGTGATGCGCTCGGTCTATTATAGCAAACAAACGCCTGCTCTTTCTTTAAATTAATGCTGGGAATAGGAGTATACTAATCCTTATTATTCAAAATACATCTGCACATTTCTATATATTTTTTCCTATCCATGATTACAATATTTCCCCCTTTGTCTGCCATTTTAATCACCAAATCGGGATTTAAACGCAGTTCCTGCAAAGCATTGCGTTCACTGGGAGTCAGATTGTCATTGGATACACTTTTCCTTCTTAATCTCCTAAATCCTTGGTAACAGCTTTTAACAAAACACGATACTCCTGGAACAGCAGACAGAGGGGGAGATGCACCGGATCTTTTAAATAAACTGGCTTCTTGTAAAGTCACAGTGTCAATCTGTTGTAGTTGCGTTCCCAAGGCCTCACCACTTGCTTCTAATGCTAGATCCAACATTAATTTAGAAAATTCCTCATCAGCTATATCATCCTGATCAGTAGTCTGTCCCTCCTCCCATAGACTCATCAAATCTCATAAGGCTCTATACCAGTGATGGCGAACCCGTGGCACGCGTGCCACAGCCGGCACGCCGAGCCTTATCTGTGGGCACGCCAGGAGAATCCAGCGGCGCGCTGTCTTCCCGGCTGTAGTGTGCGTGACAGCCGGGTCCCAAGTGCGCATGCACAAGAAGCAGTGCTCTTTGTGAATGGTAAGGCGGTACCTGGGACACATGACAGATCCCAGAAGCCGCCGGACCAATCACAAAGCGCAGCGCTTCTCGCGCATGCGCACTGGGCATCCGGCAGTCCGACGAGCGCCCACACTACAGAAGCCGGGAAGACAGCGCGCGGCTGGATAAAGGAACAGGTAAGATAAAAAAAACTCTGCGGAAGTAAGATCGGGTACCTGTCAAATTCAGGTACCCGCTCCCCCTCCCTCCGCAGTCTCTGGTCATCCCTGTACTGTCCGCAGTCTCTGGTCATCTCCTGTACTTTCCGCAGTCTCTGGTCATCCCTGTACTGTCCGCAGTCACTGGTCATCCCTGTACTGTGTCCGCAGTCTCTGGTCATCTCCTGTACTGTGTCCGCAGTCTCTGGTCATCCCTGTACTGTCCGCAGTCTCTGGTCATCCCTGTACTGTGTCCGCAGTCTCTGGTCATCCCTGTACTGTCCGCAGTCTCTGGTCATCTCCTGTACTGTCTGAAGTCTCTGGTCATCTTCTGTACTGTTCGCAGTCTCTGGTCATCTCCTGTACTGTGTCCGCAGTCTCTGGTCATCTCCTGTACTGTGTCCGCAGTCTCTGGTCATCTCCTGTACTGTCCGCAGTCTCTGGTCATCTCCTGTACTGTCCGCAGTCTCTGGTCATCCCTGTACTGTCCGCAGTCTCTGGTCATCCCTGTACTGTGTCCGCAGTCTCTGGTCATCTCCTGTACTGTGTCCGCAGTCTTTGGTCATCCCTGTACTGTCCGCAGTCTCTGGTCATCCCTGTACTGTCCGCAGTCTCTGGTCATCTCCTGTACTGTGTCCGCAGTCTCTGGTCATCTCCTGTACTGTGTCCGCAGTCTCTGGTCATCCCTGTACTGTCCGCAGTCTCTGGTCATCTCCTGTACTGTGTCCGCAGTCTCTGGTCATCCCTGTACTGTGTCTGCAGTCTCTGGTCATCCCTGTACTGTGTCTGCAGTCTCTGGTCATCCCTGTACTGTGTCTGCAGTCTCTGGTCATCCCTGTACTGTGTCTGCAGTCTCTGGTCATCCCTGTACTGTGTCCGCAGTCTCTGGTCATCCCTGTACTGTCCGCAGTCTCTGGTCATCCCTGTACTGTCCGCAGTCTCTGGTCATCTCCTGTACTGTTTGCAGTCTCTGGTCATCTCCTGTACTGTGTCCGCAGTCTCTGGTCATCTCCTGTACTGTGTCCGCAGTCTCTGGTCATCTCCTGTACTGTGTCCGCAGTCTCTGGTCATCTCCTGTACTGTGTCCGCAGTCTCTGGTCATCCCTGTACTGTGTCCGCAGTCTCTGGTCATCCCTGTACTGTCCGCAGTCTCTGGTCATCCCTGTACTGTGTCTGCAGTCTCTGGTCATCCCTGTACTGTGTCCGCAGTCTCTGGTCATCCCTGTACTGTCCGCAGTCTCTGGTCATCCCTGTACTGTCCGCAGTCTCTGGTCATCTCCTGTACTGTGTCCGCAGCCTCTGGTCATCCCTGTACTGTGTCCGCAGTCTCTGGGCATCCCTGTACTGTGTCCGCAGTCTCTGGTCATCCCTGTACTGTGTCCGCAGTCTCTGGTCATCCCTGTACTGTCCGCAGTCTCTGGTCATCCCTGTACTGTCCGCAGTCTCTGGTCATCCCTGTACTGTGTCCGCAGTCTCTGGTCATCCCTGTAATGTGTCCGCAGTCTCTGGTCATCCCTGTACTGTGTCCGCAGTCTCTGGTCATCCCTGTACTGTCCGCAGTCTCTGGTCATCCCTGTACTGTCCGCAGTCTCTGGTCATCTCCTGTACTGTGTCCGCAGTCTCTGGTCATCCCTGTACTGTGTCCGCAGTCTCTGGGCATCCCTGTACTGTGTCCGCAGTCTCTGGTCATCCCTGTACTGTGTCCTCAGTCTCTGGTCATCCCTGTACTGTCCGCAGTCTCTGGTCATCCCTGTACTGTCCGCAGTCTCTGGTCATCCCTGTACTGTGTCCGCAGTCTCTGGTCATCCCTGTACTGTGTCCGCAGTCTCTGGTCATCCCTGTACTGTGTCCGCAGTCTCTGGTCATCCCTGTACTGTTAATTAGTTTGCACTACTGTACGAGTTGTTTTTTCTAAACCAAAAGCTCGATATTCAGGTTTCATTGCAGTGTTGGCACTTTGAAAGAAATAAGTTGGTTTTGGGTTGCAGTTTGGGCACTCGGGCTCAAAAAGGTTCGCCATCACTGCTCTATACTCACGTTGACTCAAATGTGTCCAGTCCCCCAAAGGACCTAAAGGAGAAGTTTGTGACTTACGTTCATGGAATACACATACTCCTACCCCTAGCATTAAATTGGAGGGTATACCCCTATCCCCAGCATTAATTTGGAGAGAGAGAAGGCACATTTGTTTGCTATAATAGACCAAGCATATCACGAATGCATAATTGACAAACAAACAATGGAATTCCTAAGGGTCACAAATCCCCGCAACCCGATTTTCTATGCCCTCCCGAAGGTTCACAAGTCTGTTGAGGACCCTCCTGGCCATCCTATAATTTCTGGAATGGGATTCCTGATGGAGAAATCCAGTGAATACATAGATAAGATCCTCCAGCCCTTTGTGGTAGACCAATTTTCCTATATTAAGAACACCTTGCATCTCTTGACACTTCTGCATGACCTCACCATTCCCCCCGACACCATTTTGCTTACCATTGATATTGAAGCTCTGTATTCTTCAATTCCACACTCCAAGGGCCTCCAAGTCATTAAGAAAATATTGAGCAGTAGAGCCACTGGAAAGCAAAAACACAATCACTTAATTGTTGGGTTGTTGGAATTTCTCCTTACTATATATTCCAATTTGGTGACAGGACATTCTGCCAGGCTCAGGGCACAGCTATGGGTACAAATGTGCCCCAGCCTATGCCAACATCTACCTGGGAGATTGGGAATCTTGGCTTTTCAGGGGGGGAGGTGGGGTCTCGCCGCTGCATCTGTCCAGGATACTGTCCTGGGACAGATACATCGTCGACGTCTTTGTTCTTTGGACAGGCATAATAGAACAAGCCCAACAATTTGTGGAGGAACTCGCCCCAAACCCATACAACCTTAAGTTCACTAGCAAATGCAATACCCAAACAGTGACTTTTTTGGATCTAGAGATTGAACTTAATGGAAATGGAGGTATTAAGACCAAGCTGTTTAGCAAACCCACAGTGACCAATAATCTATTGGATGCGAGTAGCTTTCATCCCCACTCCCTCATTCAGGATATTCCAGTCGGACAATACTTAAGGGCTCGGAGGAACTGTTCGGATCCTCTGGACTTCGAGGAGGAAGCTTCCAATCTATGTGAATGATTTACTAAGCGAGGATACAATAAAAAATGGTTGGCGAAGGCGTATCATAGAGCAAGGGTGTTTGACCGAGAGAAATTAATCTTTGGACCTAGGGCGAAACCCTTGAGTGATCAGGAAACAATTAAAATCAATATACAGTACACAGAACTATCAGAAAATATAAGGGATATTTGTGCCAAACATTGGCACATTCTCAAGGAGGATTCCTCGGTTTAGAAATACATTTACAACCACCCAAATCTAATCTATAGAAAGGCTACATCTCTAGCAGACCTCCTGGTCCACAGTCACATTAATTGGTCCCCCCGTAAGCTACGTCTGTCATCAGGTATATATAGGTGCGGTTGTTGTGATGTTTGCCCCTCTATGATCGAGGGTTATAGTCTAATGTTGCCGATCGGTAGGGTGCCCTAGGTGCAGACAGAGAGCCAGTTGTGGCATGTCTTGAGTTGTATATATTATTCTCTGTGCCTGCGGATCCTTCTATGTTGGCAAAACCATACGTACCATCCACAAGAGCTTTCAAGATCATCTTTATGAGATCTCCACCTACCACCTCAAATTTTCATTTGCAAGACATGTATGTCTTGAACATAATAGCAATCCCCAACACCTCCGATGTTGGGTACTGGAAGTTGTCCCTCATGATACCGGGGGGGAGGGGGACTTCGACAAAGTGGTACTCCAACATGAGACGAGGTGGATATGAGAGCTGGAGAACACAAAACCTCCAGGTTTGAGCGAAAGCCTTAGCTTTGCCCCCTTTCTGCCGGGCCTTAGCCCTCCTCTATCTGCAGATTCCCCTTCCCCCCCTTTTTTTTTTTCACATATTCATATATATTACATTTGGGTTTTGTTTTTGTCATTGATTTACGTTTTTTTTTATATAACATGGAGTTATGTGGTCTTTTTCTCCTTTTAGAATGTTGATGTGGTTGTGTTTTCCTGGCTGGATGCCTTTTAGGTTTTTACGTTTCTCCTCCCTTCTGGTTCTCTCCTTGCGAAGAGGGAGGGATTGGGGACGGGAGGATTTTGGATTGGCATTTATGGGACATCTTCTCCCCTTTTTCTTCATGCTGTCCAAAAAAGTGCATGGTTTTCTAGATGAATCATTGTATTACCAGAAGTATCTACTAGATGGTGCACTGGATATTTTGTATTAACCATATTGCCTTCCTGGAAGCTTATATGGGCTTCTGTGCACTGCTCGTGCTCGCACACACGCCACGTCATGACATGGCCACGTCCCACGCATGAGCAGTTGAGATGAGGTGGCCATTTTAGGCACCCAGCTCTGAAACAACCTGTCAAACAATCTTGAGCCTACCTCTGAGGCAGTCGGTTGTAGCGGTCAGGAATGGGCTGATACCACACTCCCAGGCTCCCCAGTGAACTCTCCATGGACTTCCATCACATGATAAGTACTACCACTCAACTTTGGATACTCCTTTTTGATGCTCCAATCTCACTATCTCTTGCTGGTCTACTGATATACATCTGAAGGAACTTCCTGTGTTGTACTTTCTGCCTAAACTCTGTCTACTCTGCTTTGCTTAACTTGGAAGATACTTCTTTTGATTAATATTGAATACCTAAAGTGACTGCCATGTCTATCCTTATGCAACTGAAGGGATTGTCTTATAACCACCTCACTCTGAACAAAATGAGTTGCCTCATATGCTGAATACCTAAAGGGACTGCCATGTCTATCCTTATGCATCTGAAGGGATTGTTCCATTACCATCTCATTTTGAATAAAATTAGTTGTTTCATATGCTCCCTTGTCACTCTAATCAATTTTGGCAATCAATTAATCAAGAAGTCTCCTTGCTGAGATGTTTATTCACATTCAAGGGACTGCATATATGTTTATCGCTCTACTCTGTCAATCTTGCAAGAGATAACTTGACTGTTGAACACTGTGCCTTACAAAGGGAGTGCATCTAATGTCTTCCATATTACTTAATTGACTTTGGAGCAACCTTATCTTTAAGATTATCACATTTATACCAGGAATCTTCTACAGATGGGCCCCGGACCAAGGATGCTATTATTTTTCCATGTATGAGGGAGGTCCTTTTGGCTCACAAATCTCTCTTGGATGTGCCCCATTATCAGGAGTCTGAGGGAGTTGAAGCCATTACATGTATATTATTATCACCAGTAATATCCTCCTCTGGACTACATGTTGATGCATTATCTGGGACTGTATGTTGTCATTTCCTCATGTGACATGGTTCAATGCCAGCTTAGTGTAAGAGGGAGGCCCGCACAGTTACAATATCATCCCTGCATTACACTAACCTTTACATGAGATGTTCAACAATTAGTTTTTTCCTGGTGATTTTGGCCTGGCAGAAATACCATAGGTGGCAAAGAGCATGCTCCCCTTTCAGGAGCTTTTTGAATCATTATGTTTCTGCAATTTTGTTATATGGAGCACATGTGCAATTCATGAGGAAAGTTATCATTACCATATACATATAAGTGGGTAGTCCCTTTTGGGGACTGTTGTTTGGGACCTGTGGAGTGTGGTATGATTCTTTGCATTATTGTTTTTAGAACTGTCTATGTCAGCCTTTCTCAACCAGGGTGCCCTAGCACCCTCGGATGCCTTGAGGTTTCTTCAGCGGTGCCTTGGCAAAATATTTAAAAATTGCCCAAAACTTGTATACGAGCCAGCGGGTGGGACAAATCTGCCTTTCAGTTGCACAAAGCCATAGGTTTTCATTGTCACCATTACAACCTACTAGCCGCTGGCATCCTGACAACCAATGACATCATCAGTTGATAAGGAGGATGTCAGTACTGAGGTCACATTAGCTCAGTGATGGAGAAAAACTGAAGGAAAAGAGAAACACTGGAATACTAGTCAGTAGCAGTATGCAAAAGTGTATTTGCTTTGGAAGAATAAATCACCTCCAATGTTGGGTGTCTTACATGTGTGGATGTTGCTGCATTATATAAAAATATTAGAATAGTGTTTCACATTTAGAATAGGGTACCCTTTTAATGGACATTCTAGAGGCACCCTATTTTAGAACGGGGTGCCTCAAGACTATTCATAATTTTAAAGGGAGCCTTGGGACTGTCCACAATTTTAAAGGGTGCCTTGACTAAAAAAAGGTTGAGAAACACTGGTCTATGTTAAATAAAGAAATCATTGTGCGCCATTGACCACTAGCCCCTTTTGAATTATTGCTTTTGCATTACCAATACATATCAACAAACCCCATTCTGGTTGAGTCCATAACTAACCATAATTTTGTTTTTGCACATTCTCCAACTCCTAGAGATTGATAGTTTAATATATTTTATGAAAATAAGCTGAAAAAAAGCATTTTTAGTCCATGCTTCAAAAGTAAAAACTGCATGGTATGAACAACTTCTCTGCTTTCTTTCCATCCAGTTTTTCTTAAATTAGCTCTAGAGAATCATAGGCTAAAAATAGACTAGCAATTTTCTCACATGGCTAATCTGCTATATTCCAGAAATGTCTTTTGCTGCCAGGCTGGGGTGTGACCCATGGCAGAAAGACAAGCAAGTCAGGTTTGGGGTTGAAATGAAGATCTGGAAGTGATTTTTTTTTTTTTTTAGAAAATGTTGAAAATAATAATAAAGGCAATTCTGAAAAGGCCTTTTTTTAGGCCACGATTTTAATGAGCAATAGCACAACAACCTCTTTGTATATGTGGTGTTAACGAGCGCTTGGTCAGCTAACAAAGGCTTTCTTGTGTTGATATGTTTTTGTTGACCTGACTGTCTGGCCAGATCATCTTTATATACTAATGAGGGGCATTAATATTGCTAAGTGTAAATGGGGGCTGGGTACAATGTGATTTAATGATGCTGCCTTCATTGGCCACAGTGGGGGTGAGAAACAGCAGTGTGCTCTTTGTCATTGCCACACAAACCCATTAGCAGAATAACAGTAACCTTTGCCAATACCAAACATTTTGAGTTTAACATCATCTCCCTACAAAAATGCAGCACACAGTTTTACACTCTTGATTTGTAGTCAGCCTTGGCCTGGGTCAAAATAAATAGCTCCGGGCAATTTAGACTGAGCAGCCCATGTCAAAGGAAAACATTACACATGTGATACAGTTTGTCATTAGTAATAGGATAGCATTTATTTGTTATCCGAGTCATCCCTGTAACAGTTTTACTAGGCTTTGATGTTGCCAGTAGATAGATGGATCTATTTCCTTCAGTGAGGTGACAGTGTTCTTCAGCGAAACCTGGAGGACAGGCCGTCGGGGGCAGACTAGAGGGACAGGGTATGGGGGGCAGGCCAGAGGGACAGGGCATTGAGGCCAGACCAGAGGGAGAGGGGACCAGGGGCAGACCAGAAAGGTCAGTACACGGAGGGTTAGGATAACAGTACAGTCGGTCAGTATACATACAGGGGGATATACATACAACAGGATAGGACATTGAAGAAAGCATAGAGGGATGGGGCACCGATGACAGTACTGTCGGTGGGTGTTCACAGTGGGTGTGGGTACACACAGGTCGGTGCAAACTATGGGTGCCATGATAAGGTGAGGTATCAGGCACACACAGGGTACAATAAGTGACATGTGCTGACATCACTCTTCTGATACTATGCACACCACTTTCCTGTCAGGTCCATTCCCAGTGAGTGCTGCACTGCATACCTAGGGCACCCAGAGTATATCTTGGTTGTCACAGTCCTCCGGCTCACTCATTCCTCCGGCTCACTCATTCCTCCTGCTCTCTGCTTTCCAGCTAAAATGGCCTATGCGTGGCTCACCAGACTACTTTTTTCCTAGTGTGCTCTTTTCCTCCATCCTCCTCGGCCACCAATTGCAGCGGGGTTGTAGTGCTAGAATGCATGACCAGCAGAAACAGAATCTATGTGGAGTTTGTATATTTTCCAACACATTTGTTTGCATTTCCAAATCTTTTCCTCCTAAAACCAAAATACAGTCTGGTAGATTAACTATCTTCTATCCATATTGTCCATTGTGTGTGCATATGTATTCTTTTGTATAACTGAGCTGGTTGTACTAGACTGCAAGTTCCTGTCTGGAGCAGGGATTGGTGCTAATGGTTAAAAGTATTCTGTAATACGTATAGCACTGCAATATGAATTTAGATAAATTTAACAAATGATATTGTCATTTGAGTCTCCAGTTCAAATTATCTGATCGTTAGTACTATTATCTGTGGCATGATTTTTTTATGTGAAAGACGTAGGTCTTTTTTGTGCTTTATATGTCTTTATAAATGCTGCCTTCTGCCTGCGGTTCTGATGTTGTAACTCACTGTTGGTAACGCAGTAGTAACACAAACTGTATATTGTAAGGCACACAGAGAACAGGTCACAGCAACTGGCCAATTCATCTTACATGGATGTGTGCCCTTCTGAGTAATAAGATGTATGTTGAGCCATGAGCCGTATGTATTATGTAATATAATATAATATAATGTAAATATGCATATCTTGCTATAGTATGTGCAGTAAATGTTCAGCCAATTTGCCATTGCTCCATGCTGATTTTGTTGTATGTAGAACCACACAATCTACGTACAAGTGCACTGCATCTTTCTTAGTGAGAAGAAGAGTTAAGTATCAGGTCTTTGCACCAATATTTTCCTACGTGTACAAAAATAAGCGCTTCTTACGGTTAGGAGAAATTAATTACCCTTTAAAATCATATAAAGCCCAGTCCTTTTCCAGTTGTCACAATGGGCTTTGGAATTGACACACACGGACCATTGATAAGCCTCACTGCATCTTGGTCATTTTGAAAGTTTGTTGGATAAATTGTGGATTGGTTTGATGCACAGACGCATCTTTTTTGCTGGCAAAGGTTAAAAAAGGTAAACTTTCATTCCTTTAAAAAAAAAGCACAATCATGAGTGAAAAATGGAAGCTATTATTGCTGACTATTTCTATTCTATTCTATTCTATACTATTTCTATTCCTATAGAAAATGTTAGTGGCCTGGCTGTCATGTTGACCCTTTGGCTTCAAAGCTTGGAGTCACTGACTCCAAGGTAAGGACTTAGCTCTGCCTCTATAACCAAGTAATTGTGCTGGGGGTCACTGATTAAGTAAGATAACATAACACAACAACACTCAATTAGCTTTTTTAAAAAGAAGTATTCAGATGCAGCCTCTGTATTTATCTTCTGACAGGTTTACTTTAAATGTGGAAATGAAAACCACACTGGAAGATGGCTTTTAGGTCAGGTTCACTGGTGCCCAGGTGTTTATGAATTTTCATTTGGGACTTCTTAGACCTTCATTTCATTACATAAACCAATGTATGTTAAGGGCCGGTTCACATTGATGCGGTGCAGGAAACTGCATGTGATTTGGACAGGAATTGCTGTTCAAATCACATGTCAGTCTTTTGCAGTGCGATTTGAGCCATTCATTTTGTACAGCTCCAATCACACAAACGCACTGGCATCAGATCGCATGGGTGTTCACACCAATGTGATCCGATTCACCCAATCACATTGCATTTTACGAACCATTTTGGGGGTGTCATTGACATTGACACCCGCAGCGGTCTGCATGAACAAAGTGCGATTTTGATACAGTGAATTTGCTGTGAATCCCACACCACATCAGTGTGAAACAGGCCTCACAAATCAATGTAAATTTTCTTACCAGAATCAGTTCATCCCCTGCAAGTTCCCGAGTCCAAAACGTCTTGGGCCCTGTCCCATCCACTAGAGTCTGTTTACAGTAGATCTTTTTTTCCTTCTCCCAGATAGGAAAACTCTAATAACAAGGGATACAAAGGAGACAACTAATACTCATGTGTAAAGGGATACAGAAAACAAAGAGCACAAAACATAACAAAAAAGGCATGTGAAACCTCATCTCCAGGAGTATTTGCTAAGCAATCTACACAATGGAAAGCATCCATCCTAATAAAAATTGATGTGATATTAATGGAAAATGCAAATGAGAGATCCACTGTATAGTTTCACTTAATTACAAATGTGTAGCTCTCCAGAAATGCATTTCTCTCCATCAGTCAGGCTGAAGATTTATAATACTAATTGGCCTACCATGTCAGAGAAGGCAGTTGGAGGGAGATGTATAAAATCCTGCTCCCCTTAAAAGTTTTCTGTGGGGTTTACTTACTAAAGCCGAAGAGTGCAAAATCAGGCTCACTTCTGAATAGAAACCAATCAGCTTCCCGGTTTTATTGCCAAAGCTTAATTGAACAAGCTGAGGTTAGAATCTGATTGGTTTCTATGCCGAAATGAGTCTGATTTTACACTCTCCAGCTTTAGTAAATAAACCCCAGTATGTTTTACTCACTGTATCCAAGGCCATAGGCAAGAAGAATATAAGATGTGGTAAGAAGGTAACTGATGCAAACAATATAAATAGCCAGTGACTGAGTGAGCCAACCAGGCAGTGCATGCATAAGGTAAAAATGTCCAGTGCCACTTGTGAGTCCCATGGCCTATTGAAATCACTCACATACCTCCCAACTTTTTGAGATGGGAACGAGGGACATCTATTAGCAAAAGTATGTAGGTATAGGACAGACCCCCTGCCACGTTCCCTTAACCACTTGCCTACCGGATACGTTTACCCCCTTCGTGCCCAGGCCAATTTTCAGCTTTCAGCGCTGTCACACTTTGAATGACAATTGTGCGGTCATGCAACACTTTACCCATATGAAATTTTTATAATTTTTTTCACACAAAGAGAGCTTTCTTTTGGTGGTGTTTAATCACCACTGGGTGTTTTATTTTTTGCACTATAAACAAAAAAAGAGCAAAACAGGTTCTAAATGAACAGAGGAACTGACATTAATGAAATCCTTTTTTTTTTTTACCGCAATCTTTATTTTTAAAAAATGCAAAAGGAATGTGGCAATGTGCTGTGACTTGGCTAAAATAGTTGTGCCCTGAAATATTTATAAGGGGAGATGGATACAACTATTGGGGTGCAATAGTCTACAGCTACTTTGAGAACAAAAACAGATTATTATTTTTTTAATAATGTAAATCAAAGTTGGACATACACACTGTGATAATCATAGGACAGTTCCATGGTGTATATCACCAAAACAAAGCAGTAAAGAGCTCTGGGTGCCAACTACAAGGGAAAGGGGTGGGGTGGTGTGCAGGGTTTACTGGGAAATTACATTTAGAAGTAAAGTAAAGTGTACAACTATAAAACTATACATTATGAAGTTTCTACAGCATGCTCCATCTGTAGTAAATGGATATTATTATAAATTATTATTTTCATTCTGTCCTTTGGTAATTTGTTCCACTGTATCTTTCATTGTTATAATATTCTTGCAGGATGAATACTCTGGTAAACCCACCCCATGTTTTCTATGTGATCTCTATAAAAGGGCAGATGTGAGGCGGCCATATAAATCATGGCTTCATGCTGTGCCATGTCAGGATTAATAAACTGTACATCGTGTGGTCTGTGTAACGTCTGGGATGTAATCATGTAGCCAATTCACGTTCAGTGTGACAGCCAAAGAAATATATAGCGCATTGTAGGCCATTATGCGTATCATCTGTTACACTAATGTACTTCCACTGACAGCTGTAACGTGTCCAGCTATTTCACTCACTCTGCCGTCATTGTGTTAAATTAAAGCACTTACACTTTCAGCACTTAAGTGGGGAATATATTATTTTATGGTTATTTTTATGTGGCTTATCCGTATAATTAAAATGAGGTCTCTGTCTTTATGGTGGGTTACACGTTGAAATAGCTCTGGGTACTACACTGCATTCTTGGTTATGCGCTATGTTATTTTATATTGATCATTTGTTTTCTAAGCAATTAGCAGTAGATGCACTTATGAAAGGCTGTTGTTTGGAATCAGCAGAAGAAGATAATTATCTCTGATGGGCTTAATTTCCTACTACAGGCCCAAAAATGTATGAAAAATTGAGGCCCAGATATGTAACCATTTACTGTATTTAGCATAAATATGACTGCATTTTATGTTTTCCTTTATTGCTTTGGAGCTGAGGCAATACCTGTTTGCTGACCCTTTCCAGAGTTTCTGACAGGATGTTCAATCCACTATAAATGCCTAAAGTACTTGTATGTTCATGGGAGAAAAAAACAGTACACAAAGGGGTTGACTTACTAAAATTGGAGAGTGCAAAACTTGGGGGCATGGTAGCCAATCAGCTTCTAACTTCAGCTTGTTCAATTAAGCTTTGACAAAAAAAAAAACAGTAAGATGATTGGTTTCCATGAAGACCTGGACCAAATTTTGCACGTTCCAGTTTTAGTAAATCAACCCTAATGTGTTAAGATTCCAAATTTATATGCCAGTCTGGATCAGGACAGCATTTCTGAATCACAACATTTTTTACTAGTTTTACATTTTACAAATTAATTCTTTATACATTGATGGAGCTACTTTATCATTGCTTGTTTGCTTGTATTTATTTCATTCATCAACGTTTTTAATGCACATACATGCAGTAAATATTGCATAGGTGTACAACCATTATTTATTCTTTCCATTAAATAGTTATTCAATCAATGCAAGCCTTTATTTCCTATGAATCAGTATTTTGTTTCCTAAAACCTTATTTTACCTGCACCCTTAATACCTCCATTTTCTGCTCTCCTTAATATACACCTCATAGGACCTCACAGTTATCACCAGTCAGCAGTTTGTAAGGTAAGAAAAAGCATGCAACTGTTCTTGTGAGTGGATTTTTACATACAAAAAAAAATTAGTCATAAGAAATGTAACTGATTTGTGTAAGAAAACCTACAGAGAATGGAAAACATAATTTGAAATATAAAAAAATATTAGACTTCAACCAAAGTACCGCATATGGTATGCTTTAATTAATATATCGAATTGCAAAATGTGTGTATATATTAAAATACCTATATATATATATATATATATATATATATATATATATATATATATATATATACACTTCACACGTAAAAGAGATACAAAGTGACCATGTGATATTAGGTATAATTTGTAGATCAGAGCTTGCACTTTCAATCAATAAACATGAATTCTAGGTAAACTTATGTGGTATGAGAAATATAAATTATACTTTGAGCTGGATTGGAATTTTTTACTTTTTTTTACTTGATCCTTATTGTGTCCTCTAGATAATGGGGAGTCTTATCTATGAGAAAACATGCAGATACGAGTAAGCACTTACAGAAAATGTTAGGAACTCAAATTTCTGTTCTGTCTGTGGCTAGATTTTGACAAAATAAGAAATAGAAAAATAGTAGTACAGGTGAAGGGATTTATATAAAGAAAGGTAGGTGTGATGATAGTAAAAAGTTAAATATGGTGGTTATGGAGGATGAAACGGTAAAAAAAAATGTGAACAAACAAGCTGAAAAACCGAATGGTAAATCAAAAAGTGCCTGAACAAAACTTTTATGGTAGTATCCTCACAAAATGTTTAGTTGAGTATTACTTCACCTTCAGTTTATATTGCCACCTACAGAAGACTGTACACTGGCGAATAAAAAACCTATAGGCTAGCCTAGAATAACCACTTTTACTAACAGCCTCAGTTTTTGCTAGTGTCTTAGAAGGATTGATGTTATTTCTTCAGCTCTGGTGTGTCAAAGACTAACTTACTATGCTAGCAGATTTTTTACTCTTTTTTTTTTGTTTGACCAGGACACATCTCTATATCACTGCTAGAGCTAGTCTTTCCAAATGCAGGCTATCTGGAACAGCTGTCATCTACCTTGACTTTGGATTGCTGCATTTGCATCCCTCTAACTTGAACAGTGTGGGAAAAGCCTGGCTGTGACATTGAGCCTCTCTGGGTTCCACATAGTATGCTTTCCAGTTTCTGTTCTGGTAACAATTTTGCCACGAAACACTTTTCAGGTCCAAGCCAACAGTGCCAACTTATCCTTATTGTTGCATCGTACTCAGAGCCTTACATTGCTTTACTGCCATGTGGTCACAACATCTTATTTTAGACATGGGTGGGCAACTCTGCTGAATGTGGTGCCCCCAGGTTAAACTCTGCTAAAGGCTCTAGAGTTGCTTACAGTGTGCCTACTGAAGATGCTATAGTCAGCATCTGGAATCTTGTTGCCCTCTATTTTGTCTTCAGAGTCTTCCTTAGCTACATTGGGTGTGGCTGCTGCCACTTCCCCCCCTCAGGTGAGGTTTTTACTACAGTGGTTCAAGACTTTATGGCCCAAATTACCCATGGTTTTGCTGACTCTTACTGCAGAGTCCACAAATACACTCTCATTCCTTCTCCTGCAGATTTTGTACCTGATTTATGACAATGCCAGAGCCAGTATTTGCACCCACTGAGCCATGGACTGCTAAGACTTTTTCTGTCTTTCACTTCAGTCTTTATGTGATGAGCTTGTATCTGAGGAGTCACAATCCTCTGCCATTACTCCCAAATTGAAAGAGACTATTTTGACTCCTATTAATGTGGTATGCACTACTCTGAAATTAGAGGATCAACATGTTGCCTTTGCCAGTGCTGTTCCCAGTCTTGGGTCAGCTACAGCTCCTAAAATTGCAAAGACTTTCCCAGTGTGCCCACTATTCCAAATCTTCCTTTATGGAGATTGGAAACACCATAACAAGGTGTTTGCTCCCCCTCTCCTAAGTGCTTGTTAGCCTTGGACCTGTTTGAAGAGGGTTCTGTTAAAACGTAGTCTGCTCTCGTTGTGGATCCGGCAGTGTCCCACCCTAAGTGACCAACATGGTAGAGGATGCACCTTTCTTTAAAGACCCAACTGATAAATGGTTGGAAACCCTCTCTAGAGCTCTGTTTTCGTTTGCTGGTTCTACTCTTTACTCCATCTTGGCTGCGATCTTACTTTGTCAAATCTAAGCTAACTATTCAAAATTCTTTAAAACAGATATTTGAATCTACACTTTTGAGGGGCTGCTCGAGGCTTCCTGTTTCATCTCCTGCATGGGTCTCCTGTCAATACACATGTTGAGATACTTTGGTTAAAGCGCTGTAGTGTGGAGCTCATGTCTAAGAAGTGTCTGGTCTGTATGACCTTGCAGTGATAACGTCTCTTCAAATCCAGTTTTGATTCTCAAGGATGCTGCTGGTGTCAAGAGTACTACTTTCTCAGCAGATGAAGCATAAGGAACAGACTCCAAAGTCTTTTCCTTTGCTGTTGGTTAAGAAACGTCCCTTTTGCTTCTCCACTCCTGCACCATCCACATCCAGACTCCCGAAGCTTGACTGCCAGTCCACTAACAAGGTCTGGGACTCTAAGTCGCCAAATTCTCTGACAAAATTTCCTCGACATAAAGGTGTACCCCCACTTTCCAAAGTGGGGGTAAGTTTGTTAACCTTTTCAGACACTTGAACTGCTTGCATCTCTGATGCCTGCGTGTTGAAGGTCGTATTCATGCTCCCTGCACCCTCCTCGGTTTCTCACCTCCAACCTTCCTGTGTCACTGCACAGATTAACAGATCTCCATCGAGCCCTCCTGTTCCTTTAGATAAAGGTGTTTTTGTGGTAGATCATGTGGCAGAACAGTTTCAGGGGATTTACTCCAACCTGTTCACTGTTCCTAAATCCAAAAGGGGCATCCACTTCATCTTTGATCTAAAAATGCTAAATGTCTTTATTGAAGCTCAAAAATTCTGTAAGGAATCTACCAGGTCCATCTACACCTCTGTTTACCAGGGAGATTTTCTAGCTTCAGTGGACATCCAGGATACATACCTACGTGCCCCCATCTTTCCAGCATATCAGTATTTCCTACGCTTTGCTGTTGGAGACCTACACTGCCAATCAGTAGCCCTGCCGTACTACCTTTCCTCTGCACCAGGAATGTTCACCAAGGTGCTGGTATTGTATTAACTCTGCTGTGCTGTCATGGCATCCCCATTTTGAGATTCTTAGATAACTTTCTGTTGAGGGAACAGTCCGCACAGGCCCTGTTGGACAATATGGCTTTCATTGTCCTGATATTACAGCAGTTAAGATGGATCCTGAACCTTCAGGACCGACTCATTGTTTAGACAGACCAACTCATTTGGCACAGAGGAACAGGCTGTTCCTGGTTTGGTGGTGCAGCAATTTACTGGTACTGGTGAAGTCCTTCCTTCCTGTCATTTGAAAGAACATCTATTCTGAAAGATCATCTTATCTGGACTCAGTTGGACAATGCCACAGGTGGTGCATACATCAGCCACTAGGGTAAATCAAATCCTGTCCTGAGCAAAAGTTCCTGTTCCATCCTTGTCAGCCATGTACATCCAAAGACAGGCAGACTTCCTCAGCCAGCAGCAACTGGACCCAGGTGAGTGTCTTCTACATTCAGAGGTGTGGATCTACGTCGCAGGTGAGGGACCTTGGAAGTGGACCTCTTGGCTGCCAGTTTCATTGCCAGACTGGGCAGGAATGTCTCTAGGTACAGAAATCCTCTATCACAAGCATTGGATGCTCTGGTGGCTCCACAGGATCAATACACACTGATCTATGTCTTTCCTCCCTTGAAACCTCTCCTTCAATTATGTGACAGGATTGGAATGCAGAGCATTTTGATGATCCTCATTGCTCCAGATTATCCATGGCAGATTTGGCACACTGACCTGCTAAAACCTCTGGTGAATCTCCATTGGTTCTTCCAAGTCATCAGGATCTCAAGAACTTATTTATCATTCTGCTTCAGTCTCTGTCCTTCCTTTTTTTTTGCCACTAAATTGAAGGCATGCAAGTAGTAGAAGGTGTTATCCTGGTCTGGTCTAGAGTTGTTTGTTTGCTAGTGTCCAGTCTTCTTGTAGGTGGCAGTATAATCCAAGGGTGAAGGCTTTCTGTATCCCTTAATTGATTTTATGATGTGTACTAAGGTCCCTCTGGTAGTTTTGATACTAATGTCATAGTTTAATGGACTAATGGAGGAATTTTAGGATTAATGTGCGGATAGATACCATCTTTTAGGAGTGGAGATGGTGCAAACTGAGAAAGAGAAGGATTGTTCTCTGTAGTAATAGAGGAGAGTTGCCCTTCTTTCCCCTTGGGTGGGAAAACCAGCGTATATTGACCTCTGTGCATATGAGGTCCTATGATCTGGTGTGTGCAGACACTGTGTATTGATTGGTGGGAAGTGTGTCTCACATAGCCAAAGGATCTCTATGCATGGACTTCACTGTCTGAGGATCCTTCTTGTACCTTATAGCTAAACTGCAGTGAAATGATTAATGGTTTATACATATGACTTTCCTTTCTCTCCCTTGTGAGAAAGCCCCAGGGGGTCTTTTACTAAAGAAATATTTTTCCCTGCATTCACCACAGTCATCCAATCAGGTACAGGGCAAATCACGCAGGTACAGGGCAAACTTAATTTTTTTTTTAAATTCCATTGAATCTGATTGGGCATCTGAAAAGAAAACAGGGCAGTGTAGAAGTACTAGTTTAGTAATTCAGGATGACAACAGGTTTCGTGAAAGAAATATCTTTGAAAATGTGTCCTAATTTTTTTTTTTTAACCACTTCACTTCTGGCTGTTGTATATAAACGGCCGGACGGTGGCAGTGCAGGGTCGGGTGGCCATTTATAAATGGCCTCCCCGCCCCCTGCTTGTGTGCGCTCCCTGGGAGCGCGCCGCACCGCGATCCGGTGCCCGCTGTGTCCTCCGAACACAGTGGAACACCAATTGTCGGATGGATGGCGAGGTCCCAATCATCTGATCACTGATTGGCCAATCAGTGATCACATGCAGAGTAGTAAGCAAGATGTCACTTCTGACATCATTGCTTACTATGTGTGAAATCTGTGAATGATCACAGAGGTCACATGGTACAAGGCTATTCACAACAGCCTTGTACCATGTGACAAGCTGTGACCAATCACAGCTCACACAGTAGTTCTCAATGGATGCAAGAATGCAGCCAGAGAGAAGGAGAAATGATTGCTTTTACAGCCTATATGGGTGACACTGTACTGCTAGGGTGACAGTATGTAAAAAAAACAAATAATAATATAAAAATAAAATAAAAATGTAAAAAAAAAAGTTTAAAAAAATTATAATTTTTGGTTATAAACTAATTTGGGTTTTGTTTATTTTTTTACTAAAAAGATAACGGAATAAATTTTGGCCAAGATTTATGATGAAATATTATTTATTTGCAAAATATTTGGACATTTTCATTTACATAGCAAAAAAAATAAAAATCCCAGTGGTGAATAAATACCACCAAAATAAAGCTTTATCTGTCTTAAAAAAATGCTAAAATATTCATATGGGTACAGTGTTGCATGACCATGCAATTGTCATTCAAAGTGTGATAGCGCTGAAAGCTGAAAATTGGCCTGGGCAGGAGGGGGGTAAAAGTGTCCGGACTGGATGTGGTTAAAGGGTCTCAATTATTCCTTTTGTAATCATTTACCTAGTGTTAAATTAATAGGGTTGGTGCAGGGCAATTTTTTTAAAGTTATAAACAAATTATACAACAGCATTTGAAGAAGGGGATGTTTATGAAGGCTTGGCTGAGCTTTATGTAACAGACAAATATCTAAACATTGGATCATCTTTTGAAAGTGTACTCGATAAAGTTACTTCTAGCACATTTAAATAGGCATGGGCTTGTACCATACTCCAGGAGGCATTTTTGCCACAGTGTTTTCTACCATATCTACATTTGCTTCCATAATATTTTTGTATCCTACTTGTGAACAGTAATTTAAATTTTTTTGTTGTATAGGAGACCACAAATGCAATCTCTTGCATCCTTGTCCCCTATATGGCACCAGCAGCCCCAAATTATTGTATATGTGTATATGTGTAAGCAACACAAGTATGGTAGACACAAGCGGTGGTGGTGTGCTTCTTTTCCTGCTACCTTCTCAACTCTTCGGGGCACAAATCATATTTTTACTCTTCGAACTGATCAAATTGTGACCTCTTCTCTTTCAGCATGCAACAAACTGTAATCTATTGATGAAAAAAATTCAGCCAACACATTTTCTTTTTGCTTTAAACAGAAGAGGTAAGGGTTACAAGTTCTGTATGGTTTTGATTAATGTTTGTGTCCCCTTAGAGAAGATTTTCTCCCTCTTCCTATTCTTGTGGCAGGTAGTCACTGGGGGCAAAATAGGGGAAATTTACCATAATATGGGGGTGGGGTCTAATATACAGTGTGGAATAATTGAAAACTATGTCAGGATTTTGTTTTTGTGAATGTAAATGTAAATTTCTGGTTTTCAACTCCATTCCTCTGGTACCTCAAACAGGTTTCTCAATTAAAATTTCTAGTTTTATGAATATTTATTACTGATCTAAGTTATCACATAAGTGATATACTTGAGGACTGGAGTTGTGAAATTCGTATTGATTGCAACACTTATTAGTTGCAACCAAAGTCATTTACATTACCCTTTCACTTGATCAGTGAGACATTAAGACACCTTGACATTTCCTAAACACATTTGGGTTAGCCATCTGTCACAAACATGGGATCACAGTGTTATAGTAGATTATGGGAGATTAATATATAAACTACCTTGCATTTTCTGCCATCCACAGTCTCCTCATCAAACTCTTCTCCAACTGTGAACTGGATCTCTGTAGTTCTAACTGTGGTAGATGTTTTAATATAAAACTGGTCTCCATTCTGACGGATCTCAACGTGAGGTTTAGAAGCTGCAGCCACTGCTACTTTCCTGAGCATAGCATTCACACCTGTGTTGTTGAATTCATTGAGAAATTTAGAAAATACCTAATAAACAATTATCATCTATTTTAAGGTTTAGCTGTTCTTATGCAACTAAAGACCTATTTTAGAAGAGGCCTAAATGTTTGGTTTAGTTCAGGGTGCTTCTGGGCTCCTCCTAAACTCCTTAACTGCTCTACAGATATTAATTTCAGTGGCAAAAACTGTAATAGCCATACATGATATACTTATGTTCCATGAAATATACATTATAATGCACTTAACTACAGTCATTTTTTGTTCTGCATCAATAAATCAGAAAATATTGAAGTTTTCTTAAGGTTAATGGTAAGGTTTCCTTTAAAATGTATCTCAACCTAAAATCCAAAATTGAATATATTGCAGCTTACCAATCTATAGATATGGTGGTTGCATTTGTTTTATTTCTCTGGCTGTGAACACATTCAGCAAGTACCGAAAATGTCTGCTGATCTTGTAAGAAGTGCAATGTTCTTGTCACTTCCTGTGAGCTTAAAAGAAAGCACAAATAACCTTATCTTTATTTTGTAAACTGCTAGTCCTATCAATCCATCATGTAATGGAGATGAACAAAGGCAGACATGTTTGAAGTCCAGCCTGTGTGACAACCATGGATGCCACCATAGATTCAATAGAGAAATGAGTATAGACGAGAAAGTGGATATAGATAGAAAGTGTTACTTGTAGGATTACAAGGTTAAATAAAGAAAAAAAGCTTCAGAAATTAAAACAAATGCAACCACATTTAAGGACTAGAAACCTGCAATATATAAAATTAGCTGATTTCTGTGTTTAACACACCTACATTTTACATGTATATTTTAGGCATTAACCATCTCAGAGTAATTCATAAGAAAGATGATATTCAATAAATGACAAAAGCTGAAAAAAAAAAACGCACCTCTAGATCAGTTACTCACTATTGGTATTGTATAACTCAGATTGTGGTGGGTGGAGTTAATGTAGAATTCTTTTTAGTAAAAACCAGTATTTATAGTAGTTGCCTATAGCAACCCATATTCTGTGGTCAAGCTTTTTAACATGAGACAACAAGCAGACTCTCCAAAGATCTTTTTTTAACCACCCAACATTTACAGGAGAGCGTGCAACTGCAATCTGTTGCTATTGATAAATATTTTAAAGCATTGGAGACACAATACCAGGAGACGTGTCTAAAAATAGGCTTGTAGAGATGTTTTTTGTCGACTTTTATGGAGCACAAATTAGCTGATGTTAAAAAATCGTTGAGATCTAATCGTTTTAACTGTTCTTAAGCATGTGTTTTATCTTAGCGAAAATTTACATAATCTTTAAGAACTTATGTAATAGCCAATAAACAAGCCAATAAAATAAAACACGATAAACAAGACATCTTGAGGCATCAGTATCCCTTGGTAATCAAAGCCACAAGCTTGACTTTTGCTGGTACATACAGTGGTTTATGAAAGAACCAGAATGACAGCTAAATCAATGTTTTCAATGTTTTTTTTATCATGTGTTTATGAGACATTATGTATAGTTTAATCACATTACATTGTGTGTCAGTCTCTGTTTTGGGTTTAAAATATTTTGACTCAGTATAATATCACCAAATGTTTATTGTATCTTGGGAAAATTATAAAATATATTGCTATTGCTTTATTAAGAATCAAAGTATGACTTTCACGGTGAGTCTTTTTCATTTTTTTCTAACATTGCTATATTACAGGTGTGCCCCATAAAAGTAGAGATACAAACCAAATTAAATTATACAGCTTCTTCTCATTTTCACATCACATGAATTGAAATTCTCAAGTTATTTTATTCCCTTGGAGCAGTGCACCTGTATTCACTGTATGTACCCAGGGGAATAAAAAACAAGAACTTTTGTTTGGAACAAAAATCAGATCACTTTACCAAATACCTCCTTCCTTTGAATTCTATGTAACATTTTAATGTATATGCTGCCTGGCAGAGGAAATCCTTTGTGTTGCTATACATTGCATCACTTATGGTATAAATAAGCAGTAAATGTGACATCAATTACTGTAACTTAAAACACAGCAAAAAGATACACCTGCAGTGAATGATTGGTGTATGTCACAGTCACTGCTTTATACATATAACACACATGCTTTTCGTATATTCCCTTACTTTACTTTGCTTTCAGCAAATAACCAACCCAAAACCACTTCTGCTGTTTTACAATAATACTACTACCTGCCTGGATCCATACCTGTAGATGTTAGCCTGCTAGAAGAAAGTACATTTCTAAAGGTAACATTATCTATTAACGTGTACAAAATGATTCTTGAACATAGAGAGACTCTTGCCATTCCTCAAACAAATCACACATTCAGCTATCTATCTATCTATCTATCTATCTATCTATCTATCTATCTATCTATCTATCTATCTATCTATCTATTTATCTTTAAAAAAATGTGCAAAGGATGTTTCTGTGTAGTTATGGTGTGATCTCATAAAAGACAAAATAAAGGCGAAACTTTCTAGTCCTCTGAAAAGTTAGCAATAGCTATTAATTTCCCATGTACAGTGTATAAATCAAAGATAGGTAATAGACAAGGACAGCTAATACATTACTACAGCAAAAAACCTTAAGCATAAGACAAAGATGCTTACATCCTATACAATTAGTGGTCTGCCAGTCTTACCAAGGGCTTTCAGAAGTTCATCAAAATTCTCGCTGCTTTTCATTTTCCAGATTCCTGCAAAATCCGGCATGGTATCTGTGCTAATTCCCTGGCAGGCGTTGGCAGTGAGAAGGGCAGAAATGAATGAACAGAAAGGCTCACCCTGAGAGGACGGTCTGATTCCAGCCAGACGTCTAAATGAGTCCTGTCTTATTCTCTCATGTGTGTCATCTTGATGGAGGAGAGAATGGGTGCCCCTCCTTCTGCCCTCTCCTCTGCCCCCTTTCTGAAATGTCAGTTTTTCATTTGGAACATAAGTACCTTACCAGGATATATTCCTGCTATATGAATAATGAACACTACTACAATTCTGTTTAGCTGTAGCTATAGGTCTACAATGTAATGGATGAATCGTATTCCCTTTTGAGAAAGAAAGTATCTTTCTGGATTTGAAAAAAAAAACATATTCCAAAGAGTATTTATTGCTTCTGGGTAGTTTAAAAACATCACAGCTGCACATTTTGTGTTGCAATCATTTTGTCCCTTACAAATGGGCAAAACTTTGACATTTAGACAACTTTGTGAAAGATGTACCTAGAAATTAGTATGTATTTGTATAAAAATGTATACATATATGTTGCACTTTCTATGTAACTTTTAAGTTCCCCTAAGACATGTTACATCCTAAAATGTACCATTAAATAATTTCTTGGAGTCCCTTGAGGATCACAGGAATTTAGAGACTATCAGGTTATACTGTTGCCTACAGAAGGACTGGACACTGGCAGTCATAAAAATTGTAGACCAGCCCAATATAACCCATCCTACTCTCAGTATGTGGAAACGTGATCATAATCATAGAGTATAAAAATCCCATTTTCTTTTTTTATTCATTGAGGGACATAGGAATCCACAGATTGTCAGGGTCTCCAAAAGCAATCCAACAGAACAAAACTGTCCTAGGAAAGAAGGAGGTTTTTGGCCTGAACACTACCTTATGCTTATGTAGGACCAGATAGGACTGCCAGCTCAGTAACAACCAGGAACACAACTTTCTGAGTAAAAGTAGAAATAAGAATTTTCCTGACGGTCCAAACAATGATTTTTGATGCAGCAGGACAACTGCATTTAGCATCCCATGGAGTCTCCCACAGTGCACAGGGGGAGCCACATGGGAGACACCCTGTACAAAGTTCTTGATCAAAGAATGGAAGCCAGTGGTCAGAGATAGGGCCCTTGATAAGGGACACATGCTGGTCAAGCCCATTTGCAAAAAAGTCCAGGATTTATTACATAGTGTACGGAAGGGTCACAAATGTAGGGGACACACAGAAAAGTGAAAGAATCACTGATGCCTCAGAAAAATGGGCACATGCAGGCACATGTTCTTGATATCCACAGAGGCCAGAAAGTCTTCCTGATGAAGGAAGGCTATGACAGACCTGGTAGATTCCATGTGAACGTTTTGCACCTTAATGAAGGCATTTAGGCCTTGAGATCCAGGATATCCCTTTTGTTTGGGAAATGTGAAGAGGTTGGGGTAGAACCCCTGAAACAGTAGGGACTAGGGCAATAATCCTCTGCTCCAGAAGATCCACTAGGGCCAAATAAAGATCTGTTAATCTCTGCGATCATACAGGCAGGTTGAAAATAATAAACCAGGGAATAAACTTCTAGCTTGTAGCCCCAGAAAACTACCTCCAGCACCCGAGATGCTGGTTTTCCAAGTGTTATCACAGGTTAACAGATGTTACCCTCTGTTGGAAAGTGGGCTGCACCCTCATGCTGAAGAAGATTTATCTGAGGGTTCTGGGGGACTTGGAAGTTCATGGTTTGTGGGCGGACTGGGAGCAGGGTATGGGTTTGGAAGTTGTGGCCTGGAAGTACGTAAGTAAAAAAAGACTCTACATGGCCTCCGATGATGAGTGGGTCTTCCCAAATTCAGACCTAGGCTTTTTTACGCCGGAAAGGTGGGTACTCTTAACCCCCAGTAACATCTTTGATGAGGGTATCCATGGCAGCTCTAAAGAGATGTTGTCCCTCGAAGGGCATGCAAAGCAAGCACTTTGTGAATGTGTGTTTTTCAGCCCTACACTTTAGCCTCATGTTCATTGATATTAGGCTTATCCAGGAAACGAGACATGAGAGCCCTAGCAACTCATCCTTACTGTAGGGCAGTGGTCTCCAAACTGTGGCCCGGGGGGCTGGATGTGGCCTTTTGCTCGGTTTTATGTGGCCCTCGAGGCATTATTCCCCCCACTGTCAGAAACAGTGGGGCATAGTTCCTGCTACTGACACCGACAAAAGGACAAAATTTCCTCCTATTGATACCAATGATGGTTCACTATTCCTCCTATTGATACCAATGATGGGGCACTATTCCTGCCATTGACACCAATGATGGGGCACTATTTCTCCCATTGACATCAATGATGGGGCACTATTCCTCCCACTAACACCAATGATGGGGAACTATTCCTCCCACTAACACCAATGATGGGGAACTATTCCTCCCACTAGCACCAATGATGGGGAACTATTCCTCCCATTGACACCAACAATGGGGAACTATTCCTCCCATTGACACCAACGAAGGGGAACTATTCCTCCAGTTGACACCAACGATGGGGCATTATTCCTCTCACTAACACCAACAATGGGATGCTATTCCTAACATTGACACCAATAATGGGGCACTATTCTTCCCATTGATACCATTGATGGAGCACTAATACTCCCTCTAATACCAACGATGGGGAAATGTTCACTCCCTCTGATGCCAGGACATTTTCTTCTCCCATCGGCCACAGTCCAGCCCCCCAAAAGTTTCAAGGACTGTAAATTGGCCCTTTGTTTAGAAAGTTTGGAGTCCACTGCTGTAGGGCAAGGGCATGAATGCCAGGTACTTAACTGCCAGAATGATCAGATGCCTTCTAATGGCCTTAGCCCAATCAGCTAGGGTCTGACAGACTAATGTCATGGCCAATAGAGGCTGTAATGCAGGTCCTGTCAGAGGGAGTAGTGGTCTGTAAGGGTCTTAAAGATAAATGCAACTTCCATTGGGATGGTAATGCTTTGTTAAGAATGGATAATACCAGATCCACAGAGGGGGAAGTCCACTTTTTAATAAAGTTCTTCTCAAATGTGTACAAGGCTGATAGGCACTTTAGAAGCTCAAAACGTTTGTTATAGTTCTTCCAGTCTCCAACTGCAAAGTGAAGAAAAGATCTTAGTGGTCTTGGAAGCCCTAAATGACCCTAGATTGAGGACAAAACTGGTTGAAGCTACAAGCTAATCCTCATGTTTTAAAGTGGTATGTACCATGTTAATAATGTCTCCTTTAATTTTGGAATGGTGGGGAAAAGACAGCAACTCCTCTACTGTAGTCCTCATAAGGAAAGACTCAGCATCAGACAGGGTGTCGGCAGTTAAGGACTCAGAGGCAGTTGAGGCTGTAGGCAGATCAGATAGGGGTTACATAGTTATATAGTTAGTCTGGCTGAAAAAAGACAAAAGTCCATCCAGTTCAACCATTAAAAAAAAAGTTATAATCCTACATTCACAGTTGATCCAGAGGAAAGCAAAAAAAACCCAGCAAAGCATGATTCAATTTGCTTCTGCAGGGTAAAAAAATTCCTTCCTGATCCCTCGAGAGGCAATCGGATATTCCCTGGATCAACTTTATCTATAAATGTTAATGTCCAGTTATATTCTGTGTATCCAAGAAAGAATCCAGGCCTTTTTTAAAGCAATCCACTGAGCTGGCCAGAACCAACTCTTGAGGGAGTCTATTCCACATTTTCACAGCTCTCACTGTGAAGAAACCTTTCCGTGTTTGGAGATTAAATCTCTTTTCCTCTAGATGTGAAGAGTGCCCCCTTGTCCTCTGTGATGACCTCAGGGTGAATAACTCTACACTGAGTTCACTATATGAACCACTGATGTATTTATACATGTTGATCAAATACCCCCTTAATCCTCTCTTCTGAATAGAGAATAAATTCAGTTCCTCTAATCTTTCCTCATAGCTGAGCTCCTCCATGCCTCTTATCAGTTTGGTTGCCCTTCTCTGTACTTTCTCCAGTTCCCCAATGTTCTTTTTGTGTATTGGTGCCCAAAACTGAACTGCATATTCCAGATCTTTCTAATGATTTTTACAGGGGTAAAAATGATCTCTCTCACTCTGGAGTCTATAAGTCTTTTAATACAAGAGAGGATTTTGCTCGCTGTAGAAACCGCAGCTTGGCATTGCATGCAATTATTAAGCTTGTGATCTACCAGAACTTACAGATCCTTCTCCACCATTGATTCCCCCAGTTGTTCCACCCCTAGTATGTATGATGCATGCATATTCATAGCCCATAAGTGCATAACCTTACATTTATCAACACTAAAGCTCATTTGCACATAGTTGCTTAATTAAACAGTGCATTGAGGTCGGCTTGCAAGTTGGAGACATCCTGAACGGACGTTTTTTTCCACTGCACAGCTTGGTGTCATCTGCGAAGACTGAAATGGTATTTATAATCCCAGACCCTATATCGTTTATAAATATAATAAACAGTAAGGGTCCCAACCTGAACCTTGGGGTACACAACTGACAACCCTAGACCATTCAGAGTATGAATCATTAACCACTACTCTCTGAATACGATCTTTTAGCCAGTTTTCTATCCATTTGAATACGGATTTTTCCAAGCCCGTAGACTTTACCTTATACATTAGCCATGTGTGGAGAACTTTGTCAAATGCTTTTGCAAAATCCAAGTATGCCACGTCCACCGTCACCCCTCTGTCCAAGGTTTTGCTCACCTCCTCATAAAAAGAAATCAGATTTGTTTGGCAACTTCTGTCTTTCATGAATCTATTCTGTCTGTTGCTTAAAATAATTTTTTCCAGCAAGAGCTCATCTTTGTGGTCTTTTATTAAACTCTCCAGTATCTTCCCAACTATAGAAGTTAAACTAACAGGTCTATAATTACTTGGTAAAGATTTTGACCCTTTTTTAAATATTTGCACCACATTGGCCTTACACCAATCCAGTGGTACTATGCCAGTCATTAAAGAGTTCCTATAAATTAGAAACAATGGCTTTGAAATGACAGAGCTCAATTCTTTAAGGACCCGTGGCTGTATGCCATCCGGTCCAGGTGCATTATTAACCTTTATTCTGTCTAAATAATTTTTGATCATATCAATTGT